ATTTTTTTTAAATTCTTTCCCATTTCTGTCAAAGATCCTTGATTATCCTTTACAGTGCCGTCGTCTCTGAACAATTATGAAGCTTGCATGCTAACATTATAATTGATTGCCTGAGCTTACAAACTGGGCGGCCTGGGGGGGAGGTGGTAAGAGAGGGGGGTGGCGGGGATTTTGACTGGTAATTTGATTGCGCAATTTGCGCGCATTGTGTTGCATAGTTTTTGGCGCGCCAACTCCATATCCTTGGAAAGGGAAAAATGCCGAACGCACGAAACAGAAAACAGGCAACGAACATGACATGCATTTATGTCACGTCACATGTGCAACACGAACACCAACACCACTACTACACTATGTGTGTGTGTGCAACAATTTTAATTGGCGACATTCCGCAATTTTATGACTTTTAAAATTCTACATATATTTCATGCCCCTCGTCCCCTCCCCTCCCAGAGATGTGAGCATGCAACGTTGCCACACATCAATTGGCTCCTTTGAAGGACACGAGAAGGAGGCAAGGACATGCCTCACTGCCTGCCCCCTGCTAGCTTCTTGTTTTTGTAATTAGTGAGCTGCATTTCTTTGCCACTTTCGGCCATGGCAATTAAGTTGGCTAAAAGAGTGGTAGTAGGGGGAGTAGGGGGAGGAGTATGGAGCATGTGGCAGGGCCTGGAGCCGAAGGGGCAAATCCAGCAAATGAACAAAAGGCCGGCAGGGAAAAAGGCAAAGAAACCGAATATGAAATTATGCAATTAAGCAGCGAGGAGGCCATGAAAGGGGAGCAGGGTGTGGGTGTGGGTGTGGGCCAGGACCCAAGCTCACCTGGGCCAAGGACATAGGGGCGTGGGCTAATTTCCATAGCCAATAGGCAGTAAACTGGCAAAGAACGGCCTGCAGCCTGGCTGTCAAAACATTTTAATTTCTGATTTGCAGAAAGTGAAAATTAGTATATTAATTACTATAGTTAATTACTATATTAAGGATTTCAGGGACCTGACCAATGCTGACCTGATGGCCCAGTTTAGGTATCTTTTGCTGACATAAGAGCCGCCCTCCCCCCCCTAACCGAAAGTGATAGCTGCTCACCTTCGTTCCGGAGCTGATCCCCCAACCGCGGTCCTAAGCGACTGCCCAGCGGGATGCCCCCGGCCCGGGATCAGCAGCTGGGTTCAGGGCTCTGGGCTTCAACACCTTGCTTACTTTTTTTTTATGGACCATCCCCCCCTAACCCCTACCCCCTCCCCCCATCTGGACATCCACTCACAATGTTGCCGCTAGTGGTGGCTGCCGTTTTTTTTACGACTCCGCAGGCGAAGATGCATTTTGCATTTCACTTTAATTCAAAACGACTTAATTTCTTTTTCGATCTGCCGAATGGGGCAAGTTCCCCTTCCCCCTTCCCCCACCCTCCCTCTCCGGGGGAAGAGTGGTGCGAGAAATGCTTATAAATGCTCAATGCGCGTAGCCGATTAATTGCACATAAAAATTAACAACAATCAGCCGAGCGGCAACAATAACTATCGAACGGACACACAAATAATAAAAAATGAAGCAGCTCGGGATAGTGATGGCAACGTGTCGGTGCATCGTGAGGATCCTCAGGGTCGTGACCGAGTATTCCCACCTGCCTGTAGCTCCCCCAACCCACCGAAATCGATCACGCTGTCACCACAACACAGATCACACCTTCTTCGTCGTTATATCGTTATGGGTCTCCCCTGCCACAGACAATGTTGCACTTTGTATGGCTTAGGCCACAAAAAAAGTAGTCTCCCCCCCTTCTTGGCCGGTGTCGGTTTTTTGTGGTGTTTGGCTCGTTTTATGTGCACCAAATTGAGTCATAAAATACATTTTCACTTCGTCGAGAGTTTCGTCGAGAGAACTGCCACAACTGCCAGAACGCGTTGGGACTACTCCTGCAGCCATTCCATTAAGTGGCTGCATTTGGGAGTGCTTTAAGCATATTTTTATGGGCTGATGCAAATGTGGCAAGTGTCGCCTGGATGCCGTTTAGCCAACTTGCTCTTCTAATTAAGAGGCCCATCCGGAGATAAGCGGGCGATGCAGGGTCGTTACTTTATCAACAAATTGCACAGGTTAGGGAGATGCCTAGGACTAGCCTAGACTCTCTGATTTCTCAGATCTCTTAGACCTCTAAATCGAATCAAAAGTCGAATATCAAAGTCAGATCACAGCAAGGTGTTGATTAGCCGGCCGGGCTAAGCTGGGCCGTAAAAACATAAAGCCTCGCTCGGAGCAGATATCGCTCGCACCTTGTGATAATATAGGTGTGATAAAAAGGGGAGGGATCAGAGATCAGAGCCCTCTAGGATCAAAAACCCGAACGGATTTATAGGTGCCGGCGGGCAGTAAAAATTTAAATAGCATCCATTTAGTTTGGGGGGACATCAATTTTTTTTGTGAAACGAGCGCCGCTCAGTGCCTCAAATCAGGGCCTTATATTTTTATCCTGCTGGTTGTTGGTGTTGTTGTTGTTGCTGACTGATCTGGAGCAGCGATAAATCAGGGCGCAGAGGGTGTGGGGGGAAGAGAACACCTTTTGTTGGCCACGTTGTTGACAAATCAGTTGGCAACAAGGCTGGAAATCGACGGCACACGCGACCAAATAAAGGAAGAGAACCAAAAAAAAAAAAAAACAAGGCTAACACAAGTTGCATGGAGGAGTTGGGCCCGAATGGAGAATATAAATACTCTATAAATACTGATTTTTTTTTAAGAGGAATAAGATGTAACCCTAACCGTTTTAGATTGTGAAAGAAAGAGGATAAGGTTCTAAGGTTCTAAATTCTTAAATTTTTATATATTTTTGATGGAAAGAGTATCCCAATAGTGCCTTTTATCTTTCTTTTTTTTTCCAGAGTCCCAACGAGAACCTTTGTCACCTCCAGAGCCATTTACCCCCACGTTGCAAGACTCCTTCTTGGCTCTGGGGACCTCGAACCTCCAGCTTGGACTTGTGGAGTCGCGGACTCTTGGACTCTCGGATCTCTCGGATCTTGAAGCGAGGGCAGCACATTAAAAGTAAATTAACTTATCAGCGACAACGATCAGTTATTTTATTACGTTTGTCCACGCAGTAACACGAACATTATAATATCAAAGATGCCGATTAAGATTCCACCACAGGCCCCGCAGAAACACAGCCAGTGACACAGAAACAGATCACATATTGGAACGATCCGCTTTGAAGGCTGCCACAGGGAGTTTTGGTGGTGGGCAGATCTCGCTGGTGTGGTTAGACTTTAAGCCAAAATCAATAGAAATTGTAGTACAATAAAAAAAAAAATATAATTATTATAAAAAAAGTAACCAGGAATGTGGTGGTCGATTGAATACATACTTTATATAGTAATTTCCATCTGCGGATATGAGAGAGCTCTGAGCAAACAGAGCGTTAGCCAATGAATGGATATTAGACTAATTAGGCCCATGGCCAGATCGGGAGACCGATATCTATCAGATATGCATCTGCAAGATGCGTATGCGTAGATAGGTGGCTTGTTGGCAGTTTCAGTTCGCAGAAGAGACCGGAAAAACGCTGCCAACTGTCCAACTTTTGTTTGCCGAGTTGGCAAGAGCCCAGGAGGGGGGGGCAGGCATATAGAGGCGGTGGGTGTGGCTGGGGACAACTGCGCATTGCGGTTGCAACATTTGTACACATTTCTTTGTCATAATTTCTCAGCCAAATTGCACAGAGAGAATAATTAATTATTTAGAAAATTATTAAAATTAAAGCAAGAATAATTATTAGTTAGAGACTATCTAATCTTTTAAATGAAATTTAATTAGATAATTTATATCTTCCTATATCCTTTTTTCTCAGTGTCCTTTGGCTGCTCAGAGTGCAATTATTTTAAGCATTCAATTGGCATTTGGCTTCGAAGTTCGAATAGTCGAATTCGACCGCAGACCGCAGGATATGCGACTGTGTCTGGCAATTATATGCATTTAAATGCAATAACCGTCATCAGGGCGAAAGGGCCACGACCACGACCCACGGAGGACGACTCGCTTCAGTTCAGTCGAGTTGAGTTCGGTTGACTTTTTTTTTTTGTTCATAGCATTTGATGCTCCGCCAGACTCTAATTATTTTAATGCGTTCCGCAATTGAAGCGCGCGCTTGAGTCCTTCCTCCTGTCTACTGCCTCATGTTCCTGTTCGGTCGCTCTAATTTTCTAGCCACTAATGACCTTCGCAGGTCACCTGACCTTTTGGGTCTTCTCAACCGGAATCAATATCAATCAAACGGAAACCGCCGCTCTCGACAAATTGCATTCTTGGTTCTCATCTCGCTACCATTCCCTTCCTGCAATTAGGTCCTTTTGGTAAAAACATGTGGCCTCTAAAGGTAGCTGAGCTATTGGCGTGAAATTTTAATTGCCATCTTGTTGTCTAGAAACGAGAGAGGGGGGAGGAGGACTTTTATTATCAGAGGTGGGGGGAAGGCCTTTTATTACTGGATCTATTAGGGTCTTGAGAACATATCATATCAAAGCTCCTTAAAGTAAGTTCCTTCCTGCAAGTAAGCCTAAACATCTCAATTAAAAATTAAACTTCTTGGACAGACACTACCACCCCTCCTCCACCCCCCCGGAACAGCGCCATTTTGGGCCAACTAGTGCCCGAAATTATGCCCATTTGACCGACATTTGCCACATAGATGGGCTGTGCTATAAAAAGAAGTCGGCGGTGAGAGTACCCGGAGGCAAGCTCTCGTCGTGGTGAGTTTGCGGCAATATGGCGCTGGGAAGCGAACGAGACGGAAGATCCAGAGCAGTACAGATGCCGACAGGGAGGGCTGTTGAGTCACAATAGAGTCGTACTGCTCTTGCCAATCACGAGTATGGGCAGAGCTGCAAAGTCACCACCGCCGCTTGAAACAAAGTGGCAAAAATGTTGCCGTTCTGCCGGCGTCGACGCAACAGCAACAGCAACGGCAACAGCAACGGCGGCAGGTGCGTTTCCAGCCGCTCGCAGAACGCTCAGTCTCGTTTTGGCAGCCAAGCCGCTCACGACGTCGCTGGCGGAGAATCCAGTATAATTCAAAGTAGACTGTGAAAATTCAAAAGGAAAAGCTAGGGAAAAACTACAGCAAACTACACTACAGTGTATATAGGAAGTGTGCCAATTCGAATGTGCTTATCCGACAAATACTCGAGTTTATTTTTTTTGTGAAGTGTCTGAGAAAGAAACGCCTCTAGCCAGAAGAAAGAAAGAAAGCTCAGAAAGAGAAAGAGTATCATTTGTAAACAGAGTGCTTGGACTGGCTATGAAAGACTCGATGAGCATTCTAACCCAAACGCCCAGCGAAGCGCCCGCGGCCCACAGCCAGCTGCACCACCATCACCATCATCTCAGTCACCATCATCCGGCGCTGCATCATCACCCGGCGTTGCAGCATCACTACAGCCTGCAGCAACTACCGCATCAGCATCAGCAGCAGCACCCGCACCAGCAGCCACCTCCACCACCGGCGGCAGCACCAACCACGGTCGTCAACATGTCCGGCAGCACCACCACGGCGGCCAATCTGAAGCCCAACCGCTCCCGCTTCATGATCAACGACATCCTGGCGGGCAGTGCGGCGGCCGCCTTCTACAAACAGCAGCAGCACCACCATCACAACAACAACAATCACTCTGGGGGCTCCAGTGGTGGCAGCAGCCCCACGCACCACAACAACAACAACGGCGAGAGCTTTGAGCCGCCGAGCGGCGGGGCCGGGGCAGCCGCTCCACCGCCACTGCACCACCTGCACCCGCAGTCGCATCCGCATCCGCATTCGCATCCACATCCGCACGCCCTGGTGCATCCGCACGCCAAGCTGGCCGCGGGCGGTGGCGCCGCCAACGGTCTGAATGTGGCACAGTACGCGGCGGCCATGCAACAGCACTATGCCGCCGCCGCCGCTGCAGCAGCAGCCCGAAACAGTGCAGCAGCCGCCGCGGCAGCCGCAGCCGCTGCAGCAGCTGCCGCCGCCGGAGGAGGTGGAGGCCCTGGTGTGGGCGGGGCGGGCGGACCGCCGGCAGGCGCCGATCTGGACGACAGCAGTGACTATCACGAGGAGAACGAGGACTGCGACAGTGACGAGGGCGGCAGCGCGGGAGGCGGCGGGGGAGGCAGCGGCCACATGGACGATCACAGCGTTTGTAGCAATGGTGAGGTGAGCCTCCTTTACTATGCGCGGCAGGGCGGGGCGGGGGGCGGTAGATCTTTCAAGATTGAGGAAGAGCCTTCCGATCTTCTGAAGAATATTGATAGATTCTGAAAAGGAATGGAGAGATCCTTGGAGAGATATACATATAGGGTCCGATCCTTTGGTACTAAAATTTTCCATGTTTCCTGGAAAATATTCTAAGCTTTCCAATAACAACAACAACAATAACAACCAAAGCTAACAAAACAATAAGAATTTTTTCCAAAAAACTCTCTTTTCCATAATCAAGTTCGTTGCCTAAGTCTTTTGTTTTCCTTTATTAAAAAAAATTACATTTGTGAGCCGCGTGTGCCGTGAAAGGGGGGAGAGGGTAGGCTATGGGGAGGGGAGGTAAAAGTGAGGGCGCCGTCGCCTCTGTCGCTTTGCAAAACAAACTGTAAAAATTATTGCATGACCATTTTTAGAATTCCCAACCGCTGTGCTTTTTAGTTAAAAAACGAATAAAAAAAAAAATGCATTTTCACGCTTTGTTTGCGTCAGTGCGGAGCTTCTAAAGCCCTGCTCCCCAACCCCCCTCTCCCACCAGGCTTGGGGGCATGCACCTGCAGTACAGTGCGAGTTATTATGGCAGAATGGGGGGCGTGGTCAGGCAGGAAGAAGCAGAAGCACCAGCAGCAGCAGCAACAGCGAAAAATCTCATATAATTACGTATCTCCCGCTTCTCTCTCTCTCTCTATCTCTCGTGATTTTCTCTGTTATCTCACGCACTGCCCCTTTGGATGCCCCTGCCTCTCCTCCTCCCCTCCTCACCACTCTCCGTCCCTTTTACAATCATTTAATTGTGGAAATTGTTGTAAAAATGCATTTAACCCCCGTTAATAGAGGCCCCCTGGCACAAAATTTGTTGCAGGCTGTTTTCAAAACTCATCTCCAGTCGCTTCGTTTATCTGTCTCCGGTTTTCAGTTTCCAGTTTTTTTTGTAATTTTGTTGGCCAGTTTCCATCTGTTTTGGCCTCGACTGTGCTGTTCTGTGCCATTTATTACAGCAATTTCCTGTGTTGCCAATTGCAATTTTATAAACGGTAGTCGCGTCCACTTTGGATCTTTTAGAGGATTCTCTCTCTCCGGGGGCAGAACATCATGGGGATGAAGGACGGGGTATCCGGGGGCAACTAAATGATTCGCCAGCAGGCTCCAATCCGTCAATTCTTCAGAATTCTTCAGAATGTTGCATTCACTGATGTGGCATCTCAATTAATGACCAAAGCAGGCTGTTTCTTCGATTATCGACCGGCGATGGCTGCATTCGTCTTAATATTTAATTGATTTAATAATTAATTCGAAAATTAAAATTAAAACCAGAGCAGGCGCACTGTCGGCGCTCGTGAGTGATTTCCTTTAATTGAAAATTAATATTATTCATTCGCGTTGCTCGGCATTATCGCTCATTTATCGCCGCCATTAATCAGTTATCGTCGCCACTTTATATGGCCAATAACAGCTTTCGTCGCGATTGATGGATGACAAATAGAAGCCATCAACAAGGTGCCTCAAATCGATTCATAAGTGCAGAGTTCAACGCCAAGTCGCCGGGGCTTGTCGTCTGTCTGGGTCTGGGACTCGGTTTTAATTATTTTTTGTTTTTGTTCAGACAAGACCCAGGTCCGACACGACTACTCGTATGTTTAAGTGCAGCACTTGGCAAATTTTCGCTTTAAATAATTTAACGCTTGAGAGTCTATATCCCCCCGTCCCCCCGATCCATAGTCTGGCCTACAAAACCCGCTCTCTCTCTTATCGGGTAACCACGATCTTGCGAATTTGCATAAATTTTATGTAAGAAAAGGCGGAAAAGTGCCCAGTCGAGAACACACTTTTGAGCCAAAAAAAAAAAAAACAAGAGGGGTTACTGGCTATGGCTATGGCTCTGGCTAGCGGAAGCGGCAATTGCGTGGCCATAAACGAGCCTCTAACTGTAAACTGCAACTGTTTGATGGCCAACAGCAGTGGCGGCTTCTCAGACTCTCAGACTTTGGTTCCAACTAGCTTATCGAGCGGGAGTGAGGATGAATATTAACTGCGATTAGTTGGGCATTAATTCCAAGGTTAATTTCTGTAATTATACTACTTTTATGTCTTTAGTCTAACTCGTTATAGATGTTTGTTTTTTGTTTTTAAAAGTTCGCTTTGTTAATGGGTGTGTGTTTTTTTTTTTTTTGCATTTTCAGGCGGCAAGGACGATGATGGTAATAGCATCAAGAGCGGCTCCACTAGCGATATGAGCGGGCTGAGCAAAAAGCAACGCAAGGCCAGAACCGCCTTCACGGACCACCAGCTGCAGACCCTGGAGAAGTCGTTCGAGCGGCAGAAGTACCTCAGTGTCCAGGAGCGCCAGGAGCTGGCCCACAAGCTGGACCTGAGCGACTGCCAGGTGAAGACCTGGTACCAGAATCGGAGGTGGGTCTGAGAGATACTATTTTTTCAATTAAAATTTTGATTATTTTTTAAACTTCTTTTATGTTTTATAATAATATTTAAAATTAAACTAATTTTTAAATATTTCTCCTCTTCTTAAGAACCAAATGGAAACGTCAGACTGCCGTGGGATTGGAACTCCTAGCCGAGGCCGGTAACTTTGCCGCCTTCCAGCGGCTCTACGGTGGGAGCCCTTACCTGGGAGCCTGGCCGTATGCGGCTGCTGCCGGTGCCGGAGCCGCTGCTGCCGCCGCCCATGGGGCCACGCCCCACACCAGCATCGATATCTACTACCGCCAAGCGGCCGCCGCCGCCGCCATGCAGAAACCCCTGCCCTACAACCTCTACGCCGGCGTGCCCAATGTGGGCGTGGGCGTAGGCGTCGGCCCGGCCCCCTTCTCGCATCTATCCGCCTCCAGTTCGCTGTCCTCGCTGAGCAGCTACTACCAGAGCGCCGCTGCCGCCGCGGCTGCCGCGAATCCGGGAGGACCGCCACCTCCACCACCGCCCTCGGCGGCGACCGCGGCCCCCGGTGGATCCCCGCCCATCGGTGGTCTGATCAAGCCGCTGGCCGGCAGCCCATCCGGCGGCCTGCCCAGCCACTCGCACCACTCCCGTCCCGCCTCTGCCTCGCCGCCGCTGCCACTGGCACGCCCTCCCTCGACGCCCAGTCCGACCCTCAATCCGGGCAGCCCGCCGGGTCGTTCCGTGGATAGTTGTTCGCAGGCCCAGTCGGACGATGAGGATCAGATCCAGGTGTGAGCCGGATCGAGGTGGATATAGAGCGTGTGTGTGTGTGGAGTGTCCTGTATGTGTGTGTAATAGCCCCGATTTAAGGCACAATATCTTGTTTTGGAAACAGCATTTATTTTGAGGAAAGCAACCATTTATTTTCGATCTCAAAAGTAAGCACAAAAATATTTCAAGAAGAGTCCTTTTTAGCGAAAATAAATTCAGGATGCAGGATGTGTGTGTTAGCGAGTGTGTGTGTGTATATAAGTGTGTGTGTCTGCTTGCTTAACTTATTTTTTGATTTGCTATTAGTAACTTATTCAAAGTGCTTCTGGAAGACACCCAATTTTTTTTTGTCAACGTAGTAATATTGTAATATCGCATAAAAGTGAAAAGAATATAAAGATATATTTATTTAGATGTTGTATGTGACACTATCAGCCAAAAAAAAAAAACGAAACAAAAACAAACTCTGTATAGTTAAGCTTAACCACAAAATGTATTATCTTTGTCGTCGACTAGAAACTTAAAAAACCCAAATCCAATTTTTTTTTCCATAGATCCTAGCCTATATAGACGTTGTAATTGTATAATGTAAAGTATCCTTTTTTTGTCTACGTTAGTAACCACACATAATTTTTTTGTCTAAATAAAAATAAAAAAAGAAAAATAACAATAATTATGTACGAAAATAAAGCTTGTTTCCAATGGACAATTAAAATAATGACCAGTGGAGGGGTGGAGGGGGCAGGGAGTGCAGGGAGAGCAGTGGGTGTGGGTACGACGACGTGCTGGCCAACCCCTAATGATAATAATTGCATGCAAAATGCATTTAACCGCAATTAGTGCATTTATTAGGCCAAAAGTTGATATATTGAATAACTGCCACCAGTTGGCCAAAACACACACAGAGGTGGTGGGACGAGGGGCATGGCTGGGGGGAGAGAGCGGTTATGGCCATGTCCAGTGCCCTGCAGTTGCATTGCGTGCTCGCATGCAAACGGACCAACGGCCGAAGGCAAAGTCCAGCAAACGATCCTTGAAGTCCGGACCAAAGGACCAAAAATTTATAAAGACCCTGGCCAGGTGACCAAGGCAGAAGGGGGGCAGGCAACGGAGGGGGTGTTCTTGGAATTATAACATTGGCCAAGAACTTTGAAGAGTTAGTTACTACAGTAGTACTATGTCTTGTAGAGATATTTAATAAAATAAAGTCTTTTTAGTTGATATTTAAAAAATTAATATATATTTTTATTTAATTTTCATTTTATTTCATGCACAAAAAAATAGGGTATTCCTGAGTCCTTATACTCCTTCGCTGGAAGCACGCGTTTTTGTACTTCTGGGGCTTCTTATGTTTTTGCGCCTTCGACCATCGACAAATTGGCCGCAATGTTTAAATTGCTTTTTGGCCTAAAACAAAAGCGAAAGGCAGCGACGCCTGGCAGGACAATATGTAGTGGTGGCTCGGGCAGGGCCAGGGACAGGGGGGAGCGACCTTTCGGCCGGCGGGCAACCTTTCATTAAAAGACAAATGACACAACAGAGCTCTCGCCACACCGTCGTTCCCGCCACACGCTCAATTAAACACGATCGTCGGTTGTGTCAGCTAGCTAGCCGCCCAGTCTGCTAATTACCAGAGGCAGTAAAAAAAAAAAAACTGAATAAAATAAAAACTAAAAAACAATTTGCAGAACCATCAGAAAAGGGCTTTGAGCTTAAATCTAGATACTCTCCAAGGTACTTGAGAATACAATAAATACAAGTATAGATCTTATAGAAGCACGGCCGTTAATTCGTTTTTGGGGACATTTCATGTTTAAATTAAAGACACATCACACATTGGAGTGACAGGCGTTTGATATGCAAACTTCGCCGTCTGGTGGTATCTGTGATGTGGGAGTCCTTGGGGAGGGGCAGCGTTTGCAGGAGCTGGATCAACAGCACATCCCAGGACGCATTTACGAAATGAAGCAGAAATATTGCCTGCTTACTGTGCTGTAACATCAATTTGCATGGAAATCAGCCGCCGAATGTCAAAGTCCCGCCACTGCCACTGCCACTGCCATACAGGCATCCAATTAGAGGCACACTTTTGTGGGAGGACGGTGCCATGGCACATCCTAGGCACGCCATTGCTATTTATTTTGCCATTTTTTATCGCTCCTCTCTTCCATAAGTGTGTGTTGTAATTAAGATTCATTCAAGCATTTTCTGGATATTATTTTTTCTTGGAAATGTACAACTCAAGACCTCCTCTAGAACTTGAAATTAAAGGGCCGGTGGGCTGAACGATTTGTGGGGGCTGGACGAGCGGACCGGAAGAACGCCCTCGATTCGCGGATTTTCCCCCAAAAAATAGAAAGCCTTTCCCTGCCTGAAAATGAAATTAAAACTCCGTACCCGACTGTGAAAATTTCATTCATTTTTTTCACGTCTTTTGATTTCGTTTGTCCAGACTGACACTGGACATATTGGATAATATCCGATGGTGTCCACAGCATTAATGTTTAATTTTTTTTTTTGCAGATTATTTTAATTTTATTTTTCCATCCATCTTGTAACAAACGGAGGTGTTCCGGCAGGGGAGAGTTAATCTACGTTCTGTATAATTTGTCACATTTTGCATTAACTATTTTTTAACCCCACGCTACACCACGTATAGAAGCCATATAGTATATATAGATATGCATTTTAAATAATCATTTGACAGAGAACGGAAATTGCGCTTAATTGCCAGCAAAGATTTTTTTAACCTTTTTTCTGTTTTTTCAGTTTTTTTTTTTGTTTTTTACGACCCGTGTTTGGATAATTGCGCTTAAATAAATATTTGCTTGATAATTGCGAAATGTTTGTTATTCTCTGCACCGCTCCAATCGCTTTGTTGAGATAATTGAACTTGGTCGGGTGGCGATTAACCCATGAGAGCCATGGTACTCCGATTTGGATAGTCTTGCCCCAAGACTGAATAATAGTTATTCGGTAAAGAAGAGTAGGGAAGCACTTTCCGAAGCGCAGGAACGCCTAAAAGGCGGCATGCAAAAATTTCACGTGTTTGTTTTCGCTTCCCGGTGCCCGGTGCCCGGTGCCCTGTGCCTTGGCGGCGATTATATTCAATAATTGTGTGCATTTAGATAAGTTACAAGCCTCGAGGGCCGACCAAGGCAGGCCGACACAGACAAAGTGAACCGGACTAAACTGAACTGCACCGAGCTGAACTGAAGTGGAGTGAAGCTCTGAGCCGCATGGGCCACTGCCACGGCTCTGGGCCCAAATGGTGGCCAGTCACGCCATCCACCGGCATCCCTGCCCTGCCCCCTCCCCCTTCTGTTTTCCACACCGCCACAAAGTGCAACCGCCATGGTGTGTAGGTGTTGAAAGTTAAAATCGCAGGGAAATCGGGGAATACTGGCTATTCTGGAGGGGGGGATCGGATCGCCTGGCAAATTGGCCGGCGCAGAAATGTGTCGGAAGTCTTTAGTAAAAGTTAAATAGAAAGCATATGGAAGATTTATATGGCATTGCCCGCTATAGTTATGCAAATTGCACGACGGCTCGAGCCTCGGGGCTCTTCAGATGCCTTAGGGCCTTAGACTCCAACTTCTAGACGAAGAAGAAGCGTAAAGGACTAACTAGAGTAGCTACTAGTCTCAGTCATAAAAATGACTAAATTTTAACTATTTGTGAATGAATTTAAGGTTAATAAAATTTAAAAAATTATCAATTGAACAAAATTAGTATACAAGTATGTATATACTTTTTATAAAAGTCTTAAATTAAAACAAGAAAGGAAAGCTAACTTCGGGCGGAGCCGAAGTTTATATACCCTTGCAGTTAAAACTGGATATATATCGCAAACATCAGATATAGTTGGCCGATCCTTATGATTACATCATAATAAAACCAATTAATTACAATAAAAAATCTAAAAAAAAGTCCCAAGCTTTTATCTTCAAAAATACGAAAGTTGATATTTCTACCAAATACCATTTCCAATCGTTCAGTTATATGGCAGCTATAGGATATAGTCGGCCGATCCTAATGAAATTTCGTAGGTCGGATTAACTGACCAAAGATATAATCTGTTGCAAATTCCAGCTTTCTATCTTCAAAAACACGAAAGTTGGGTCATTTCCGATCAATCAGTTATATGGCAGCTATAGGATATAGTCGGCCGATCCTTATGAAATTTGACATGTCGTTTTATTTTGCCAAAAATAGCTCTCATGTCAAATTTGAACTCTCTAACTCTCAAAACACCAAAGTTATACCAGTTCCGATCAATCAGTTATATGGCAGCTATAGGATATAGTCGGCCGATCCCGGCCGTTCCGACTTATATACTGCGTGCAAAGGAAAGAAGGGTGTGTGCAAAGTTTCAAGTCGATAGCTTTAAAACTGAGAGACTAGTTCGCGTAGAAACAGACAGACAGACGGACGGACAGACAGACGGACAGACAGACGGACAGACGGACATGCTCATATCAACTCAGGAGGTGATCCTGATCAAGAATATATATACTTTATAGGGTCGGAGATGTCTCCTTCACTGCGTTGCACACTTTTGGACAAAATTATAATACCCTCTGCAAGGGTATAAAAAAGAAACTCACTTGTTTTTTTCACTCTTCGTCGTATTCCATAAGTCCCAAGCTGTTTTATAAATATGTATACATATGTATATGTCATATAGCATATTAAGATCTTGGTATGTACATATGTATATAACACAGACAAACTCACTTATTTTCGCTGATTTTTAACTACACACTTAAAAAAAAGTTAAACAAAAAATAATAATATAATAAAATAATTAATAATAAAATAATAATAATAAATAATAAAATAAATAAAAATACTCTACATAAATACATATGTATGTGTATACACTATGTACTCTTTTATATACTTTTTTAATAAATATATAATAAATAAAACACATATTTAAGACAACCCGCACTTTAAAACATTCAAAAAACAACAACAAAACAAACACAAAAACAAAAACAAAAAAAATAAAGGCAAAGACAATTTCCATTCCATGCATATGTACATACATGCTCTTATATACTTAAGTATCTTATCCCTTTGCTTATATTTACACAAATGTATGTATTATACAATGTAAATATACATATCAGCATGCTACCAAACTGTACCCGCAGCGAGATGCTGCGATCCTTACACCGACACACACACACATACAAAAAATATGCAAAAAAAAGAGTCCCACTGGAGCACCCACCTAGCACATTGCCTTATATGGGCAAAGCGAAGATCGACCCTTAGAACGGTTGGGAGATATTGATATTTTATTGCCATGATTATAATTAATACCTTTTGAATATTTGCAAAGATTTAAATACGCGAAAACTTATATAATTATGTTTTTGAAACCCGTAACAATGCGTTGGCGTCCTCATTGACGCACCAATGGCCGCCGCGGAAACAAATCGCATGAATTTCGTTACAATCCGAACAGATGACGAATGAAAACTATTCTTAATCCACTAATTATCACTTTTATATGTTTTTAATGATTAAACGGCTAAGATACACTTATTTCCAATAGGAAAATCAGGAGGAGAACTTTCACCTGCCAATTCAAATTTTAAACTGATTAGGTCGCGGGTTTACCAACACTGCTGGGGAAATCCAATGCTTTTCAAACC